AAACTACCCAAAGCAATATACAGATTTAATGCAATCCCTATTAAAGCACCATTGTCATACATTAAAGAACTTGGAAAAATTGTACTTCATTTTATATGGAATCAGAAAAAACCTCAAATAGCAAATGCATTATTTAGAAATAAGAACAAATCAGGAGAAATCATATTACCAGACCTCAGGCTATGCTATAAATCTATAGTGATAAAAACATCATGGTACCGGCACAAAAACAGTGGTAGATTTATGGAACAGAATAGACAACTAAGAGATGAACCCAGCTACTTCATCTTTGAATGACACAATCTTAGGGTAGGACCTATGCCCCTGAGTGGGCGGGGACTATGTCTCAGGCACCATAAAAGGGCAGTGTATTCTAGCACAAAGACAGAGGCGACCAGCCAGGAGCCAAAGAGTTGCAGCCTTGGGATCTCCAAGACCTCCCCTGGAAATCTCCAAGTCAAGCTCAGTTTTCTTCCTGTCAGTGTTCCACTTCTCTGTTTGACTACAATTGTTTTTCTGATCCCCTTACCTTTGTATTTTAGAAAAGAAGAGAAAGGGCCAGTTTTGTCCCATGTAAGGCAACTTTTTCACTTTTCTCTCAAACATCTAACATCCTCATTTAAATTCATTACATACATTCATTACATTAAATGTTTACATATGTTAGCTGAGCTTTGGGGGTGCATGCTTAAAGATACTTCGGAGGCTGAGGCAAGAAGATTGCTTGAACCCAAGAATTTGAGGTTGTTGTGAGCTATGATGCCATGCCTACTGTGTACAGGGCACAGAGCGAGACTCTGTCTCACAAAAATAGATAAATGAATAAGAAGTAAATGAATAAATATAAATTTTTACATATGAACTTCAGGTTGCTTTGCATACATACCTGTATTTTAATGTTTTCTGCTACCATGTAGGTGCCAATTTTAAAAATTGTTCCTTTTTACTTTCTAATTTTATATCTTAAAGACTTTTCTGAGTTTTCAACTAAATATATATACCACTTGTAAAAGCTGTATCATCCTTAACTGAGTCATTGCATTGTTTCTGATCATTGGAGATCCGTAATTTTGTAGTTAACACTAAAAGGAAGAACTTGTAAATGTAGAAATTTCCTTTTAAAAACTTATTTTCTTGGATACCTTCCATGGTGAGATAGGCAACCTCATTTAGTTCTCAAGTCCTATGTCAGATTTGCCATAAAGGAATGGTAGCCATAGCAAGAGGCTTCTGGGGGCCCCAGGCGTTATAGAGCTTCAGGTGACAGGAGGGCCTCTTCCTTGTGAGGAGCATCTTTCTGGTTCATGTTCATGTGCAGAATTTATTTTATTTTATTTTATCTTATTTATTTTATTTAATTTTTTTTTTTTTTTGAGACAGAGTCTTACTATGTCACCCTCGGTAGAGTATCATAGCATCACAGCACACAGCAACCTCAAACTCTTGGGCTTAAGTGATTCTCTTGCCTCAGCCTCTCCAGGAGCTGGGACAACAGGCACAGCACCCACCTATTTTTTTGTTGCAATTGTCATTGTTGTTTAGCAGGCCTGGGGCGGGTTCAATCCCACCAGCCCCCACGCATGTGGTCGGCGCCCTAACCACTGAGATACCAGTGCCAACCAGGTGCAGATTATTTGAGAGAAGTTAATGACAATGATTATAACATTTGTATGCATGTTGGCTTGAGGCTAGGTTATTTCTCTCAGAGTGCATGAAAGCATTTCATCAAACGATACTTTGTCCTTAATGATTCTATTCCTGGCATCTCATTCACTCTGTAGTGGAGTTTGAAGGTTTGACTCACATGTGATCCCTTTGTTTGAAATTCTATGGGTCCCTTAGTCACTTTTCTGGGATAAATCCAGCAGAACATGGTTTACCTTTATGATTGGATTTAGATACTGATAATTTTTTTCTCAACCTGCAGGTTCGCAGAAATACGAATTAGGATAGTGACCTCACTCTCAGATCTTGTTAAAGACCTAGCTAGGCTCAGCTCCCATAAGGATAAGCATTGGGCCCAGCAAACACATCATCTAGACATCTGCAGACAAGTAAGCGGCCCTGTGTCTTTCTTGTGCTTGCCTAGATTTTTGATAGATTTGATAGCTTTTCTCACAGATGATTACATTACTAAGATTCTGTAGTGAGTTAGTGTCACTTCCATACACAAATGAAAATATTTATATAACCTAATTTTTGTATTGGATCTAGCTACATCCTGATATTGAGGATCGGATTGTGTTTGAAGATTTCTAAGAACTCCCAAGAAGCAGATAAAGCGTCATTTCAGTTCAGTTGCCTGCCAAGGAGTGATCCTGGGGACCACGGCCAAAAGTCTGTATGCAGAGGCAACCCACTCAGTTTGCCTGGATTTATTCACCAATCCCTTCTCCTTGTCTTGTGGGCACACCTTCTGTTGGTATTGCATCCAAACTTTGGCATTGGAAAGGGAGGATTGGAAACTGACTTGCTCCATGTGCCGAGCAGCCACAGAGAAACCTCCCTTGGAAGAATGGCAGATGAGAACGCCAACCCAGCACATTAAGCAGCATGGGCCCCTCCTGGAGCACATGATGCAAGTGAGCCTTGAGCTCCAGCGGTTTCAGGAAGATATGAGCCTGGACACAGCCACCGCCAGCTCCCTTCTTGTTGTCTCCGAGGACCTAAGGAGCGTCCAGTGTGCAAAGAGCCATCAGGACATGAAGGAAGATCCCAGGAGATTCACCCACCTAGCCTGTGTCCTGGGTACACCCAGCTTCTCCAGTGGCCAACATTACTGGGAGGTGGACGTGGAAGAGGTGAGGGAGTGGTCTCTGGGTGTCTGCAAGGAGTCGCTTGACAGAAAGGCAGAGCGATTTATCCTCTGAGCGTGGCTTCTGGGTAACCAGCATAAAGACAGGAGCAATCTGTGCCAAAATCATCCCAGAAAGTAGAATGCAAGCCCTTGACTTCAGCATGTGGGAATTTTCCTGGATGTCAAGATGGAAGAAATCCGGTTTTTCAATGTTAGAAATGACACCCTCATTTATATATACAGAGGGCGTATATATTATATATACGGAGGGCATATATATATGTGCCCTCTCCTTGCTGGAGCGTTTTCGACCATTTTTTCTTATTGAGCTGCCAGGAGAAGGTGATGGTGGTGTCCTCAAAATCTGCCAATGAGAAATTGAGCTCTTCCTAGAAGCTTTATAAAGGAGTCAAAGAGATCTATGGTCTGAAAAAGGTCAGGATGCTCAAGGACCAGACAGTATACTGTAATGGAAAGACTTGTCAAATGTTGTTAAGTGAATTTTGTAGACTCTGTAGTGACAATGATATAGATTTGTTTGTGGTAAATATTTTAGGTTTGTGGGTGAATAGCTATGAGATATTTGGGGATGTCATGAAGCACAAGAAGCCTCAGTTTTCTAGGCCACAAATTGAGGTAATTATATCTCTCAGTCAAATAGCTGTCATGATTACAAACATCTCTGTAGTAACATTTCTAGCAAATCTTTAATACAGAGCAATAGGTTATAAGTCAACTAGATACTAAATTTTATGGATAGAAACTGTTTTTATGTTATGGCATTTATATATTTATTTATTTATTTATTATTGAATCATAGCTGTGTACATTAATGCAATCCTGGTGTATGATGTGCTGGTTTTATATACAATTTGAAATGTTTTCATCAAACTGGTTAACAGCCTTCATGGCATTTTCTTAGTTATTGTGTTAAGGCATTTATACCCTACACCTAGTAAGTTTCACATGTACCCTTGTAAGGTGCATTGTAGGTGCGGTCCCACCAATTACTCTCCCTTCACCCATCTTCCCCTACCACTCCTCTCCCTGTCCCCTTTCCCCTTCTTCTTGGGCTATAATTGGGTTATAGCTTTCATAAGAAAGCTATAAATTGGTTTCATAGTAGGGCTGAGTACATTTTCTTCCATTCTTAAGATACTTTGCTAAGAAGAATGTGTTCCAGCTCCATCCATGTAAACATGCAAGAGGTAAAGTCTCCATCTTTCTTTAAGGCTGCATAATATTCCATGTTATGCATAATATTCCATATTAAGGTTCCATAATATTCCACAATTTATTGATCCATTCATGGGTTGATGGGCACTCCATGACTTAGCAATTACGAATTGGGCTGCAATAAACATTCTGGTACAAATATCTTTGTTATGTGATTTTTGGTCTTCTGTATATATACCTAGTAGAGGAATTGTAGGATCGAATGGCAGGTCTATTTTTAGATCTCAAAGTGTTCTCCAAACATCTTTCCAAAGGAATGTATTAGTTTGCATTTCCACCAGCAATGTAGAAGTGTTCCCTTTTCTCCACATCTACACCAACACCTCTGGTTTGGGGATTTTGTGATATGGGCTAATCTTACTGGAGTTAATTGATATCTCAAAGTAGTTTCGATTTGCATTTCTCTGATGACTAAGGATGATGAACTTTTTTTCATGTGTCTGTAGGCCACAAGTCTGTCTTCTTCAGAGAAGTTTCTCTTCAAGTTCCTTGACCACCCTGAGATGGGATCACTTTTTCTTTTCTTGCTAATACGTTTGTGTTCTCTGTGGATTCTGGTTAGTAAACCTTTGTCAGAGACATAACCTGCAAATATCTTCTCCCATTCTGAGGGTTGTCTGCTTGCTTTACTTACTGTGTTCTTGGCTGTGCAGAAGCTTTTTAGTTTGATCAGGTCCCAGTAGTGTATTTTTGATGTTGCTTCAATTGCCTAGGGGGGTCCTCCTCATAAAATAATCACCCAGGCTAAATTTTTTTTTAAATAACTCTTTAATCATATGCACATAAGAGGGATAAAGGGAAACAACAGTCTGACTGGGGAAGGGAGTAGGGTATTCTTCCTTTGCCCCAGTGTCTGCTTGGCACAGTTCTGAGATCACACACAATTTGGGGGTGGGCTGGGAAGTAGAATAAGGGAGAGGATTGAAGAGACAAAGGCAAGGAGGGAGAGGACAGGTGTGCAGTAGTCTCAGGCAGTGGACTCTAACACAGATTCCCTCAGTACAAGGTCCCAGTAGTGTTCAGCCCCATGCTTTTTGAAATGCTCACGAGCCACATTCTTTGTAGGGCACTGTTTGAACTTCACCTCTCCAAAGCTCCGGTCTTTGGCTGTACCCTCCCAGACTAGTACACATTTGTTGGTTTTCTTCACAGCTTTCTCATCAGAGTCCTCATCATCATCTCCCTTCGTGTTAGATGTCTGTTCATCCCACTTTATCCGATGCAGCATAAGACGCTTAAATTTATTCTGGGCATTGGGGCCCCTTTCTACTACTACCACGTTGACGTCCTTGTGCAGGAACACCACCCCTGTCAGGTACAGTTGCCCAGCATTGGCCTCAATCTTGAACTTCTTGGCTGGGTTGCTCAAATTTCAAACTCTATATACAGATATGTGTACCCCCTGTGAAATGTCTTCTTTAAGCTTTTTAATTTTCTTGACCTTTCTCTGTTCTGCTGTAAGTTTTCGGGCAGTGTTGGCCTCTTCATGTGCTTTCTGTCTTTTTGCCATTTGAGCTTTGACATGGGCTTCTACCTTCATGGGGTCTTGAACAGCTTCTGTGCCTAATACTCACATCAGATTAGAAATTCTCACTTTGGGTTCTGGAGGAGGCATCAAGCCCAGCCTGACTTTCTCTTGTAGTTCTTTCTGCTCTTCTCTCCTTGTCTGCTTTCGAAGTTTCTTCTGTTCCTTCTTGGTAAGATATACCCCCAGAGTAACTGGTGTGTCATTGTTAACTGGAGGATTAAGCTGAGCTGGATGTTCGACAAGATTTGTGATTCCAAAATAATCTTCTCTCTTGGGATTTTCCTCTGTAAGGTCAAAGCCATTGGGGATGACGTAAGAGTCCCACCACTCAACTTCAAGGATATCGCCTTCCTTTAATTCCTTTTTAGGAGTAATGAGGGCAAGCATAGTGGAAGTATGGATGCCCATTTTTTGAGCTGCTTGTGAGATCTCTGCCTGCAGCTTCTCCAGTTGAGCCTTGGTCCGTAATCACTGAGCAATCTTCTCAAATTTGCCTTTGTCATGGAATTTAAAAGTTCATCTCTGGCGGTGGGAAGGGGCAATTGAAACTCGGAGGTCAAAAAACATATTGGACTCCATATCTTCTGATGGCTTTTCTTTTAGCTGTTGCTTGAATTGTGCCCTTTTCACAGCATGAATATTGGCTTTAAGAGTAGGCATGCGATGTGTCAGCTCAATCTCCTTGCCTGTTGCATCTACAGTGCAACTCTGCTCATCTAGGATCAGTGGTGTAGGTTTAGTTTGGTCTTTTAAATCCACCTTCAGGGGAGCAATGCCCATAGCATGGAGATTAGCCAGGCCCACCATGTTGGCGTTGCCAGTGAGTTCTGGCTTCAGTGCCAGCTGGGCTTGGATTCGAGCTTGTAGTTCAGCTGCTTTCCTTGCCTTCTCAATGACATTATTCATGAAAGTGGCAGCCTGGGAGGGCTGAATAGTGTTGCCAATTGGAAGTCGCTCTGGTTGGGAGGAAGAAGGAGTCTTCGGCTGCGGTGTATGGGGACTAACGAAGCTCAGTTGTTTTTTTCTCTCCTCAATTTGTTGTGTCGCTGCTTCCATCATCTGTTTGATCTAAAGCTTAGTCAGCATGCCCGGGCTCTCTGATGGAGGACCAGGGATCACTTCTGGCTCTTCTTCCACCTCCTCAAAATGGGGTATTCATTGCTTCTTTACTCCCGAAGATTCTTTGAAAACCTCAGAGTCATCACCAAACACTCCTTTAGCTCTTGTTTTCTGCTCCTATCACTGCTGGACTTGGAATACCTAGAGCTTTGGCCTTCCTCCACAGCCTCAAATAGTTTGTCCACAAATTGGAGAGTAGAATCATCAAGAAAAGGTTTCAGATGGTCGACTGCCTTTTTCTTGTCCATGCCCTTCCCCACACAGTTCAGTGCTGCTGTTACCACTGTGGGCTCTGAGAAACCCAATACTCTCTTCACTATGGTCTCTATCCATGGTTTCAGTTCATCCAGCTCCCTCTTAGACAGTGTCATTGTTCAGGAGAAGGAAAACAATAGCTCAAGTGGGCTTCAATACTTACAAATTTTAGCCCCTGAGACGGCTATGTTATGGCTTTTTTTGTGCAATGTCTGAGGATAGTCATCTGTGGACAAAGAATCAGATAGAACCAATGTGAGATGTTTTGATAAAGTGTAAAATTTCAGAGAGGGAAATAGGTCCTGGGAAAACTAAGTTTCTCATTTTTATCTTCTCTGAAACACAGTCTTTAAGAGACAAAGAAGTTTGACTAAGGCATATTGTAAGCAGTGATTCATATTAATGGGAAATTATTCTTTGCCCATTTCAACAATTGACCTGTGCCAGTATACTAGGGTATGTATGATAGGCATGAAGATGCCAATAGGTTTACTGAGATAATGTCAATTTTATAAAATAGCAAAAGATTGAGAAACTTCTGGAATCAATTATATAAAGGATGAAATGACTGTTCTGAACACGGGATCCCTGAACATCTGCCCAGGAGATGCAGGTTTACTTGTAAAACCCCTCTGTGTTTTCTGAGATGAGAGGCCATCTCCCAGCAAGCCCAAACTTCAGACCACTGTTAAATTTTGATTTGTAAGAATTATTTACCAACCATGTTAACTCATTAATGTGTATTCATCATAAATTTGTTTTTAAAGTTGTTTTTGGATTTGCATTAGTAGAATTTACATTTTCTTGCAATTAAATTTATAAAATGGCTGACGCTCTCATGAGTATTCCATTTGTTCCACCTGCCACATCCTGTCTCAAGTTGGTGCCCCTCTTCCCCCATCACATCCACATCATCTCTGACTGATTTTCCACCTTTATCCTACAGTCTCAGGATGGCTCCTTTTTAAAGGTTTCAGAGTCCATACTGTTGGACTTTTTTTTTCTGATATGACATGGGTGCCAAAGGGCTGGGTCTAAGTATGTTCTACCCTTTGACTTCCTCCCATGGAGACCCAGAATTGTCACCTTCCTTGTCCTTCCAACTCCACTGGAGGAGGAAGACAACTGATTCTCCCATTCCCCTTATTTCCTTTTGATCCTTACAATTTCCTGAAGAAACTCCTTGCCCTCCCCCATCACTGGGCTGGAGTGGAGGATACCCGCATCCACCCAGATAGGACTTTGTAATGTTGAAACAGATGTTTCCTAAAGAATACTTACTACAAATGATACACTGATAATTATCTCTTACTATATTTCACTAGAAAAAATCCTGATCTCACACACTAGTTTGATTTCACAACTTATCATTAGGTTGAGATCTGTAGTTTGAAAACTGACCCCCTCCCCCCCAACCTTGAATGCTCAGGGAAAGGCAGCCTCGTTTCCCTGGACCAGGGTGAAGAGCTTGTGTTACATTCACAAGTTAAGCTTTTCTCCAGGGCTCTTTGTTTCGAGGAACTTTCCTATAGACATTTAAGCCCCAGACTTCCCTTCATTTCTCAAATCAATAAACATTGATTATTTAACTCGGACCTTGTTAATAGCACATGGAATGTACTGACACTTCATTTCTTTTTTTTTTTTTTTTGCAACCAAGTCTCACTCTGTCGCACCAGTGTAAAGGTCTGTGCAGTCATAGCTCACAGCAATCTCAAACTCTTGGGCTCAAATGATCCGTTCACCTCTATCTTCTGAGTAGCTGGGACCACAGGCACTCAAAACTCCTGGATAATTTTTCTATTTGTAGTAGTGACAGGGGTCTCATCTCATTCTTTCTCAGGCTAGTCCTGAACTCCTGAGCACAAGCGAAAGCCTTGTCTTGGACTTAGTAATCCAGCATGCAAGGATTACAGGCATGAGCCATATGCTGACAAGCTATTTTTTGCCAATTATTAACATCATCTATTGTTACTTTTAGTTAAGTGTGAGGTTGACTATTAACCCAACATACTCTTCATCAAGATACAAATATAATTTTTGAAGTACTTTAACCATCGTCAGGAAGAAGTTTTGTATATTGACCATTTTTGGTTTTGTTAATGATATGACTGATATCAAGCTAATGATGGACTGATACAAGCAACCATCTCTGTTGTCTTTCCTTCCTCCATCCGCATTCCCTGTACTGTTCTTTACCTTCTATGTGCTCTCCAGCCTCCCCTACCCTCTACAAACTGTAGTGTGGTGGTGTATGTACCCAGAGAAGCTTCACTGAATGCTGGTGGTAGAGCAGGGGTCAGTAGGGGTCAGTATGGGAACAGAACTCAGGCTGCCTCAAAAAGCAATAATGGTGTGGAGATAAATTACAACTCTCAATCCTAATTTGCATAATAGGATTATGTGTGATTATGCCCTCCCCCACTTCTCCTCCATCAGTCATTCTGAAATATCACCATTCCCGGCCTCCATCCATCTTATTCTCATTTGGGATTCATTCCTCACAAAAACATCATTCCCCCCAAAAACAAACTCAAAAATCTTTGCTCACCCTCTGCTCTTTTGTTGTGTCTGCCTCTTCCACAGTCTCCTTCTTGGGAGTACTCTCTGTAGATATGTTCCCTCTGCTTTAATTAATGTCACTGGCCAGGACTAAAAACTGGGTGGAGAGTGGACAATAGGAGATCCCAGGGAGGAATTAAGGTGAGAGCTGTGCTCAGCTCCACAGTGCACAAGCCTGGTGCCCTGAAACAAGGTGTAGTTGGTGCTTGACCCTTTTCACCTGGACATATGAAAGCACAAGGAAAATCTTAAACCTCAAGGTCTCCAGATTTGGGGAGGGAAGCCATTCCCTGCTACTCTTGAGATGTAGTTGATGTAAGTATTTTTACTTGGCTATGAGAGAGAGAGGGGTAGCAGGCTCAGATAGTGGTTCTCAATTGTAGCTTCACATTGGAATCAGCTGGAGAGCTGTCAGACATTTCCAAGACCAAAACCATACCGTACCTCAATCCAATCAGAATATCTATGGCTAGGGCCTAGGCAGTGGTATGTCTAGGTGATTCCAAAGTGTAGCTATGGGCCAGGGACAGTGGCTCACACCTGTAATGCTCGCATTCTTGGAGGCCGAGGCAGGCAGATTGAGTAACTTCACTGGTTTGAGACCAGTATCAGTCAGTGTGAGACCTTGTCTCTAAAAATAGCCAAGTGTCATGGCAGGCACCCATAGTCCCAGCTATTTGGGAGGCTGAGGCAAGAGTATCCCTCTAGCCTAAGAGTTTGTGGTTGCTGTGAGCTATGAGCACACTGCCCTCTACCGAGTGTGACAAAGTGAGAATGTGTCTCAAAAAAAAAAAAAAAAAAAACCAAACAAACCTAAAATCAACAAAGGGCAGGTATGGGGGTGAATCACTGGGCTAAAGTGTGGTTCCAAAACTCTGTTGTGCATCAGAGTCCCCTGGATGGGTTCAGTGGGTCTGGGGCAGGACCCAGGACCTAGGATTTGCATTTGTAGCAAGTTCCCAAGGTTGGTGGAGGAGCCCTACTTTGAGAGCCAGGGGATGGAAGGACACAGTGCCCCCTGATGCTGATGTCTGGGTTTATATGTGAATTTATTTTACAAAAACTTGTAAGATAAATTAAGTTAGCTGTTATAAACTTGAAACTGATTTTTTAAAAGTAAGGACAACTTGAGAGATTTGAATCTCCTCCATTGTTTTAATGACATATACTCACCAACTCTGTATTTCTCCTGCTGTTGCTCAATTTTTAGTCCAGTTCTTGCCTTTTATTATTATAATTATTATTTTTGAGATGGAGTTTCACTAAGTCACCCTCCGTAGAGTGCCATGGCTCTTCTAAAAGACATAGGTAAGGGGATCAGAAAAACAATTGTAGCCAAACAGAGAAGTGGAACACTGACACGAGGAAAACTGACCTTGACTTGGAGATTTCCATGGAGGTCTTGGAGATCCTAACTAAGGCTGCAGCTCTTTGGCTCCTGGCTGGTCGACTCTGAGTTTGTGCTGGAATACACTGCCCTATTATGGTGCCCGAGACACAGTTCCCACCCACTCAGGGGCATAGGTCCCACCCTAAGATTGTGTCATTCAAACCTAATCGATCAAACTTAATCAATGCTGCCCTTCTGTGAAAGATGATGTATTAAAATTTTATTGTACAAAATTCAAAATATCATGGTAACTCTTAGAATTCAACAAGAAAATCTACTACCATCTGAACAAGATTCTCCAATTCCAGAATTCAACTTGAAAAAGCAAAGTGTGTTAGAGATCAAATACAGAAGCACACTGGTGAAACCTACTGACATCTCAGTTAATATAATCAGGGGCGTTCATATCTCTCATACAGTCATGGACGGTGTCAGGATCACAAAGAGGCTGGAGAGCCAATGAAGTCCTGCTGCTAAGGGTTACGCCCTCCCAGAGCTGAACTGCACTCTGAGTATCTTCACCCTTCTCTAGTCTTTCTGCACAGCCTAATGCCCCATTCTTACCGGATGCCATCTCCATTCCGTGAATTAAATACCTACAAGGCAGGCACTTCTTTTGGTTTTATTTCATTTATTTATTTTGAAATTTTTATATATTTATTGTTTTTAGACAGAGTCTTATCTGTCCCCTCGTGTAGAGTACAATGGGGTGATAGCTCACAGTAACCTCAGAATCCTGGCCTCAACCTATGCTAGTGCCTGAGCCTCCTGAGTAGCTGGGACTATAGGCACCAGCTAAAATGACCAGCTAGTTCTTCTATCTTTTTTAGTACAGACATGGCCCCCATCTTGCTCAGGTGCCTCTCTAACTCCTAAACTCAGGCAATCCACCAGCCTTAGCCTCCCAGAGTGCTGGAATTACAAGCATGAGCCACCCCACCCAGCCTAGAGCCATTTTTGCAGAAAGTTGTAGAACTTAGTTTTAAGGAAAACACAGATTGGGGTCAGTACAATAAGCAGCTGATTTTTTTCATATGGAGAATGTTCTCATTTTTTCCTTTTTAATTTCAGATTCACTTTTGGGAACAAATGTTCAGTTTACATTTTTGTGGTTTCTAAGGTAAAGTCCAAGTTGTAGGCCAGCCCTTTACACAGGGGGTGTGA